ATGTTAGAGACATTTACAACTAAACTGTCTAAATGATCGACAGGTCTATCTCTATCATCATATTAATTCAACATATTAACATCTCATCACTATGAATGGTCTAATTAACGTCAGGTTCTTTGCAACGTTATAAAGACCATAATTATTTGCCAGAAGAGGATTTGGAGGTACAAACATGAGAGTCAAAATTTTATGAATTTCTTTCCTTTGCATTTCTCTCATACCTTATTTTCATGTTATACTTAATTTTATATAGGAGACAAACACGGTCTATAATTGGGTTTCTGAAAACTTCATCTATGTTTAGATTCTGACCAGGATTCCAAACGGATTGACCTGTTTGTCAAGATAACTAGTATTTTTAAACATCGCGTTTATTTTTGGACACTGAAAAAGTATTCAAAATCATGTAATAAGGCTTAGAGGCTACTAAATGACTAACCAAAGGAGATCCATGGGCAAAACTAAGAATTTCCGGTCTATACATATGAACTATAATTGGATAGCAAACTACCCACTCATCACCAGCGGGTAATTCAGTTGGTTCCATTTACTCATCGGGATATCCCGTTTAACAAATAAGTCCGGGGACATCTGTAGCACTAGTTTCTTTAAAAAAATTCTGTAACGAACAGGATATCTCAAGATCTTCTTCCTGCTCGATAATGAGTGACTATCGTCTGATTAGAATGAAGAAACTGATTAGTAAAACAAGATCGTTAACAAGCACATCTGTAGGTTTTGTTTTTTTTTCCAGACTATTTTGTAACGCAGAGGATATATTAGGATCCTATGCCTGCTCAATGATAAGTGATTATCGTCTGATTAGGATTAAGAAATTGAGTAGTAAAACATGAACGTTGTGAACAAAATATTTTCAATGAAGAATACTATAGCAGAAGAGATCTCCTCACACGTCTGACCACATGAATAATTGTCTGATAACTATTTTCATGGGCATTTCCAACCATATCGCTAGTAATTGCACAAGCTGGGCAATAAACAGGGATTTCATTTTTGAGTAATCGACCCTTAATCCAAAGAAGATCTTGCCATTTACAGGTGGATCAAATACAAGCTTATGTCCAGCAACATCATTGCCTAGGAATTGAGGAATACATTTGATCGAACACATTTCCAAGAATTGTTTTCAGAACGAAAGAAAATTTGGTTTTACTTCTTTGTTTTTTTTTTTTTTAAACTAGGATACAACTTAATATATAGGACAACACTTAAACGTGAATTTGTGTGTGTACACGATAATATTTGTTTAAACCAAATTAATTTCTCTCAATTCAGTTTCATCTCCTACTTTACTATTTTTGTATACATCTATATTTTTTCTATGCATCTTCACTATTTTGCATTAAAATTTCACCCATTTCTCTTTCCCTCTACCTTTCCTGAAAGACTATACCCCACACGCTCAATCTACTAGTTAGACACTAGGATCTATTATTTAGACAACATTTGAAGGACAACTTATTAATTTAGGTTTATAATGAAAGTTAAATCAAGGTGCAAGAATTCCAAAATAAGATGAATTTTAATCTCAAAAAGAAATATTTCTAACTTATTTAATAAACGTTCCTATCCTCAATGAGTCCCTTAAATTCTGTACACATTTGTAGATATACAAACCTACATATGTGTAGATTTTTATATACATCAGGTCCTAGATATGCGTTTATGCACGTGTATACCTGTCTACTCTTCTCGCAAAATCTCATCCTTGATATATATCTAATTCATTGCATTAGTGTTGGGCCTGAATGTAAGAATTCTATACCATTTAACATTTTATGTTTGTGTCAAAATAGCTATATTGCATATTGTAAACTAACGTAACCCTTCCTTTTAATTAAAGCAAACTATTATTTTTACTTCATGTAAAATATGACATATATCAAATTCATGATATGTCCCTATCATATAAATTAATTTGCAATATTTGCTACACAGCTTATAACCAATGTCAATTAAGATAATGCTCAAGTTTAACAAACTAACTTCATGAAAAGATCGAACTGGTATATATGTATATCATCATCATCATCAGAACAGAACATAATAGAAATAATTTGAAAACTGCAAAATAATAGTAGAAACCTAAATTGATACAGATTGTACCTTTGTATTTACGAATGTCTACATTAATAATGTAGGGAAAAAGACTTGCATGGACAAAAAAACTCATAGTACATAACCAAATTTATATAGATTGTAGCATTGTGTTTACTATTGAATGCGTAATAGCATGATCGAGACTAAAAGACCTGTGCGAACATAAATTCTTGGAGACTCAATTAGAGGGAGAAGATAATTAATTAGATTAATTTATACGCGGCATTATCAGTGTATTTTTCAGCAGCTAAGTCTTTAGTTTTAGTACGTGCTAAAGTTTGTTTAGATCAAAATAAAATCATATTAATATTCAGTCTTATCATTTACACAAGAGTCACATAGCCTTTCAAGTCACATAGCCTTTCAAGTCACATAGCCTTTCAAGTCACAAAGCCTTTCATGTCACTTTTCTGCTACATGTCTAACAACTTCATTATTTATTGGGATTGTTATGAAACCCGTAATTTAGCTAACACCTTCTAGTGGCTGTTATTAACAAATAGTCTGATATAAGAATTGGTTTCGAACACATGTTGTACATAATTATACACATATGACGTGTTCAATGCAACTGATGAAGGACAGTCAGAATTAAATAAAAGTTTTATTCTGTGGTATAAAAACGAACCAAATGAAGGTATACCGCCTGATTTAGACTACACTTGACGTCTTGAAATCACCTGAACAAAAGTATATTTCTCTGATAAACACCCATGTTCTTATACTTGTTACTATCTTATTCAGAGAATATTAATAATAATTTTGAAGTATATAATTATTTCTAGTTTGCACTTTGACGTTATGATGCCCACATATATATTTAAATAAAGCGAATATGATCAACTAATGATGTACAAACACATTTTTAATAAAGAGTTTAACATCTAGTAAACCCTTGCAATATTTACATGTACACGGTCTATAATCTCTTCTTGAAAAATATTCTTCACGTGGTTGTGACATGACTATTTTAAATGTATTGCTATAAAATCTTGTTGTTTAAAGATACATACGTCATTTAATTTCTATTATCTTATGTGGAAATATGTGTGTAAAACGTTCAAGCTATAATCATTACAATAGGATGTCTACGATTATTTGAACTGTCAGTAACGCTTTTGTTTTCATGCGAACTATACACGACCTTTTATTGATTTAATTTCAATATGTGGGGTGATAATAATCACAAGTCTTAAATTTCTGTTTGATACACTTATTTCATACTTTAATTTCACCTTAGACTTGGACTTAGGTAAGAGACCAAAAGAGCTTAACATTGTACTGCTAATTGGTTCATTAATTGCAGGAATAGGTTGCAGATTACTTATCAGCTTATTCTAATGGGTTTTACTACCATCGGATAGGTTTGACAAGGTCAGCAGAATACACAAAAATTGCTTTTAATTTTGTCAATATAAATGATGATTCGAGATCTTCTGATAAGATTCATTAACCCGTCTGTATGACTAAGGAACCACCTATCGAAAGCTCACCGCCTATTCAGGAACAAATGGTATCTCAATATTAATTTTCTGTATCTTCCTAATGATTATAGTATAGTACAAAGTTTCGTAGCTATCATTTCTGCTTTCCGCTTCCGTCCTTTCTCATGCATAATGGACAAATATGCAGAAGTCTAGTGTGAGACAGAAAAGAAAATGGGCTGGATGAAAACACTGAAATTTAACGTACAGCAAGTAACCTACACGACTATTGTTATTGGTAACAATGTATGGACAATTTCCTTCTGATTTATCTTTATTGCTTATATAATCAAAGATACAAAGTTGCATAGTTTGTTGACATGATACTATAAATTTCTTAGTTAATTGGTAATGCTTTGTTGCTTTTCTTGTTTCCTAAACATATTATATTATTCAAAAAATCTCTCTCTCTCTCTCTCTCTCTCTCTCTCTCTCTCTCTCTCTCTCTCTCTCTCTCTCTCTCTCTCTCTCTCTCTCTCTCTCTCTCTCTCTCTCTCTCTCTGGAGCATCGTAAGCGAAGAAGACTAATGCTTATTTTACCCTCGATGTCTATCGACTTGTGACTAATGGTAAAAGTTAAATCAAGCTGAGCTAAGAATGAGGAAGAGAGAGAGACAGAGAGACAGACACAGAGAGAGAAATAGAGAGCTAGAGAGAGAGAGAGAGAGAGAGAGAGAGAGAGAGAGAGAGAGAGAGAGAGAGAGAGAGAGAGAGAGAGAGAGAGAGAATTTTTCCGTCAGTTGTACGGTTATTACAACAGAATAATGACTTAAATCGATTATAAATATATTAAACATAATTTAATTCTCTTCTCTTGTTTCATCGTTGCGCTTAGTTTATGTTCAACACTAATTTCCTTGCCCAAAAGAGTGATCGACTGCGCGATTGTGTCAGTCATTAAGATAACAATGTGTTTTAGGTGTTCAACTTGTTTTTAACGAAACCATCTTTCATGTTTAAATCACAGGCGTATCTTATGTTGACTTGATCAAGGTCAATACAAACGAAACTGTAAAAAGAAAACAACAAACGTCTAAATATGCAAAGGGTTTATAAATAGCTACAAATGAACACTCGGGTTGAACGTGAGTTCATTCACTCGGTCATGACACATATCCCTGTAAACAATCCAAAACTCCGTTCAAAGGGCAAATATATGTCTTTGTGACATAAAAAATATGTGATGTGATTTGATGTGAGTATGAATTTTAACGTAGCTTTAAAAATGTTCAGACATATCGCTACGATGTCTGCAGTGTGGCCGTTTATAGTGATGTCTAGCACTGGGGCATCATGTCACATTATCGTGACACCAGGCCGAACAGTCCTAACACTAACCTCTTAATGCTGAGCTTCAAGCAAGGCAGCTGTTATTTATGTGAATATTTGGTATGACTCGACCGGTAATCGAACTTACGACATTACGCATCCGAGGCGGACGCTCTAACCACTAAGCCAGCGAAACGATAAATAAAATATATGTACGGTATGTACGCTGGGTCAATCATGTACCACTCACATAACCACAGTTCACTTTTAATGAAATATGTTTACATCTCGTATATTATTGATAAAACGAATATATAGTTTAATACAAACAATACCATCATACAGGTTAGAGAAATTAAATTCGTACTTTACGGAGTTCCGAACCCAGGTCCGCGAGTAAATGGCACCCATCGCCTTGCCTGCACGCACACCAGCTTATATACCGTCACAACTAAGCACGCATCACCAAAAAATGATAGCACTGAATCGGTGTTATATAAGCTTGTGCATAGCAGGCACACTCGCATGACGACCTAGTAAATAATTCTCATATATATATATATATATATATATATATATATATATATATATATATATATATATATATATATATATATATATACATACATATATATATATATATATATATATATATATATATATATATATATATATATATATATATATATATATATATATATATATATATATATATATTCACAGTCGTTCCAGATTCATATGAAAGAAATGAAGGTATATGGGATTTTTGTATTACAAATAATTATAATTATATACCAGAAAGTACAGACTGTGCGATCCCTGGATTCTGTAGTAGAATCTTGATAATAGTGGGCAGAAATAATAATTTAATACAAACAATAATATCATACAGGTTAGAGAAATTAAATTCGTACTTTACGGAGTTTCGAACATAGGTATGCGAGTATATGGCACCCATCACTTTAAAGGTAAGCAGTTTCCTTTTAACGTACAATACCTACAAATCATCTACGGACAACGTACATCCAGTCATCTAGTCACCATATTGCGTCATTATGAATCACAGTGGAAAGTAACGGTGTTTAATGTACTCCTCTTTAGTCATTTGTCAAGTTCATCATCATTTTCATTTGCACATATTTAGAAGAATATAGTTTTTTACTGTATTTCTTAGAGTTACAGTAGAATTTGCAATTTTTCTAATTTGGAGGAGAGCACAAATCTTTCTGATCTGCAAATGACTAATTTTACTTTTACCACACTTCTACTTTGTCAATTTCATTGCGCCTCTTCTTTTAGTTTGCCAATAATTATTATCGCACTTATTTTATTTTGTCAATAATTATTACCACCTTCCTTAACATAGTCAATAATTATGACCCCACTTGTTTAACTTTACCAGTAATTTTCACGCCATTTGTTTTATTTTATAGTATCAATTATTATGTCAACTTGTATTGTTTCGTCAACAATTATTACCCTACTTATTTAACTTTGTCAATAATTATTACCTCACCTTTTTAGTTTGTTATCAATCATTATATCATCTGCTTTACTTTGCAAAATGGGGCCTAGAGTGGCCTAGTGGTCTAAGTCGGTTTCCGTTCCGGATAACTGCCATGTCACCTCTGTCTGCGTGAGTTAGATTCTATGATTCGGTGAATGTGAATATGTGAGAAAGCTTGCAATTTTCTTCTCGTGGGTCGGTGGTTCTTTCCGAGCATTTCTCGGTTTATTCCTCCACCATTAAGACTGGCCGCCATGTATAGCTTATTGTCTGCTGAAAAATTGCGTTGAGCCCCATAACAGCAACAACAACTACACCAACTTTGCATAATTTATTAATCAGCTTATCCACGTTGCGATCAATTAATACCACTCTTCTTTAAGCGGAATCAGAATGCTTTGCTTGTTGGTATACCTTTTTAACACGTGTTTATTAGTAACAGTAACAATTCAAATAAAAACTACATATCTCTCGTACCTTGGTTCTTATTAGACTATATTATATAGCCTTCTAGATAAATAAATTACGATATATACTAGATACTGTTAAGGGTACAAAATAGTACATTCATAAATACCTGTGCGTTCCGTACCACAGTAATCTACTAATAAGGCTTTGTATTCTCTCCTTGCATTTTAACATGTTTTCGTATATTCACATTGGCAATTAGCAAGCGTTTGCCTCTCCACATTGTCTGTATAGTTCCTTGGGAGGCCCAACCTAACATACCTTTGCATGCCCACATTGTCAGGTAACACGGGTTTGCATGCCAACTTGCCTATCCATGCCCAAATTATAATGTAACACCTGTTTGCATATCCAAATTTTCTGCTAACATACATTTATCTATGTCAACATTGTCGGTAGATTGCCTTGGTAGACTTATACTAAGCCTTTGCATCTCCACACATGCAAACAATATTTCACTACAATGTGGGCCTCCCAAGGCACTTGTTTACATATCCACATTTTCTGCTAAGATGCTTTTGTATGTCCACATTGTCTGTAGAAGTCCTTCGGGTGCCCACAGTGTCTACCAACATGCCTTTACATGCGAACATTGATCACTAGTATGATTTGTATGCCAACAAAAACTATTTGCGAGATAATTATTCCTATAATTGTTCTTACTTGTAAAGCATTCTTTTATAACTTTGTTACGACCTTTCCAAATATATATTTGAACGTAAGACGAAACCTATTACAAAAATCAAACTTATTGTAAGAATTAAAAATACGTCAGGAATGTTAAGCTTCTGTATGTGCAAGTGAAAGTGAGCTTTTCATGCATGATTGATATTACTCTGCGATAACTGAATCAAGGTTGACATGTTCAGCAGTGCAATCGAAGAAGGATATTCATTTAAATCGCTCCAAAACACGTGATGTAGTATACTGACTTTCTGAGTTTAGGGATCGTCTGGTTGTACATATGCCACGTATAATAAGAAGGATAATTGATACACCTGCTGTACTAAATTATTGGTTTTTAAAATAAGATAAGAAGTATCACTATGAATATTATTTATTTCTCAAAGACGGAAAGTCATTAAGAGCGTGAAAATAGAGGACTCGAGCACAAACATGCTTTTCAATCTTATCGAAACTTGGTAGTTATTTAAGAATCACTGTAATTTCAAATCCCAAAAAAATTTCAAACTTTGGAACACTAATGTTGTATCGGTATACCAAAAGATTAATCATTAAGACGTGGGTTCAATAAAATGGCAATCACATGCCAACCTCTAACCCACTCAGAAAAAAATATAAATTATCTGAGTGCGTCAGGCATCCCTTAAATGATACTAACTTGAAGAACCCATTGTAATGCATCTTTTTCCATACACAGATCTCACTTTAAAATAATCACATACACTAAGATCAACTGTTCCAAGATAAGCTGATAAACAAGCGTGTTTACTCTCCATGTACAATTTTTAACACGGCGGAAATTGGAGCGTTACGTTCTTTGAGAGGATCAATGGTGAATATAGCAGTCAGGGAGCGAGAATAAACGGACCTTTCCATGACCTGATGTTTTGCTCGTAGGATGTTTTAACCAAAGGAGTGTGGGCGACTTTTGAAACGACAAACCAATTTGTATAAAGTTTCAGCCAAAAAACAAATATAAAGTTCTGACATGTTTGAATATTAACAGAGGAAAGGAAGCGTTTATTTTAATAATTTGCCACTTGATGCTGAGGAGCTTTTATGGCAAGTCCGGTATCGTCTTTACATGGCGCTATGGTGACTGTGTAGGCAAAAGAAGAGTTTCCATATATATTAAGTTTTTCTTAAATCTTATTATTTTATGTTATTGATTAAGTACTTGTCATTAAACAGTTTGAAACTGAGTTCAAGAGTCAATTAAGTGCCATGACCTATTATCCACTTACGTAGATCGAATTGAATTTAGCTGTCATTTTTAAAGAATGGTTGTTTTCAATCATTCTTTCTAACTTCTTTAATGAATAGTTATCTTAAATATGTCTCTTGTTTCTTTAATGTAGAGTTATGCTGAGTAAAATATGGGCGGACTACGACATACGATGGATGAACTAAAATGCCGTGAATAACTCAGAGGTTGAGGAAACGAATATGATAGATTTGTAGTCATCAGTCAATAATGTATTCAGGAAGATAATTACCATCTTTCGTCAATGACTATTTTAGATAAAGAATTATCATCTTCAGTCATTGATTCGTTCAGGTGCCGTGTTGCTGGCTTTAAGCAATAACCTATTTAGGTACATATTTGCCATCTTCAACACACCGTGCATAAGAATAACGAATTGCCATTTGTAAGAAACGGTTAGTTCAGATAGAGAATAACCTTCTTTAATCAATGATTCATTTAAACACAAAATTGCCGTCTGAGATGATGATGATGATGATGATGATGATGATGATGATGATGATGATGATGATTATTATTATTATTATTATTATTATTATTATTATTATTTTTATTATTATTATTATTATTATTATTATTATTATTATTATTATTATTATTATTATTATTATTATTATTATTATTATAGTTGTAGTATTAGAAGCAACAGCAGCAGTAGTAGAGTAAATGAAGGTCGTATTTCATCTTCTCGCTCACATCTTCTTTATTATCATGTCATGATGCCTGCTTCAGTTGCATATCGATAATACCCTATTCTCACCTATTGCACCAAGCTAAGGTATTCCCACTGATAAGGTTACATTGGTGGCGCTCACTAGTTATTGTGTATTTTAGAGAGAGTGGTGTATGTAAAGTGAAGTTGTTTTCATTTTTAACATATACAGTGGAGAGAATGTTGGCATATCTGTATGCTACTTTCATGTAATGTGGCTGAAATTGTTTTGGATATTGTACTTTTGGAAATTTTAAATGATCTTAGGACACTGGTAAATAAAATGTTTGCTCCCTTGTGCTCTCAAAAAATCAACCTGAATTTGTCTAAAGTATACTATTTTTGGCGGCTATTAAAATAAGAAAAATGAATTTGCCAAACTAGACAATACCAGCTTCTTAAAATGCAATGAATGCATTACCAAATACATAACATAAAAAGTCATCGACTCTTTTTTTTTTTCAATTTACCTCAGAGACCCCGAGAGACCGAGTGGTCTAAAACGCTGTCTGTTACGGATCACTGCCATCTCAGCTATGTCTGCGTAGGTTTGAGTCTAGG